AAAATATAAATAATACATGAAAAACTTAATGAAAACTAAATTAGAAACACTGCCTTGGTAACTAACTGAAATATGTTGAAGCACTAAAATTACAGGAAATAAATAAAAATAAAACTGAACTAAAATTAAACCAGAAATAAAAAATAAATTAAAACTAAATAGAAATACTAAAACAACTCTGAAGCACACAATAAATAAGTAAATAAAAAAATAAAATATTGGAAGAATTTGATGAGAATTGCTTGAATTCATACTGAGACTTCTGTATCTTGGCAAGTGTGTTGCATTTGTTTGCATCATCTCTTTTGAAACTCTAGAGGTGACACTTTTGAAATTGTACATGAATATTAGGGATCTTTTTCTCAAGACAAAAATCTGGAAACATGTGACGCCAGCAAAGGTCTCCATTTATTCTCATTGCTGCCTAGGAGACACAACTGACATTAGACACGTGTGGTTTTCCTTCCTATAGGGAGTGAATGTACAGGTACATTATCATACATCAACAATACAGCCCAAAACCGTTATACAGCAATTAAGCCAGTCACTTATCAATGTCATAATTAATGTCTGCTTGACACCAACTCAATTACATAAACACTAGGTGTGCGATTTGTAATAACATAATCGGAAAATGTCACATTTGTTAGTACGCCGTGGCCTGACTTCACCTGTTGTTTCCTAATATGCAGAGGCGTGCAAGTTGCTACCGGGTCTAGATATTTTTCCATTTGTCAATAACATTTGCTCGTTTTAACAGCATCTGATTTGATTAAACACTCCTGTGTTCACTCAACCAAATACACAACAACCCACACGCAACCTTCTCCCTTTCCTGCATACTATTGATAAAAATCACCCACTGCTATTCTCTGGGTGGCAATATAAACTCATAAGCAAGATGGTAAATTGATTACTAACAGCAATGTCATGAATGCAGTCTTTTTGAGCAGTGATTTCACAGAACCATGATACATTTGTGACTGACACCTCAGAGATTTATAGCCGTTAATCATTATTCTTGGAGGATGATGCATCTATCGCCTTCCTGATCAACCTCAACGGTCTTAAGGCCCACTTACACCAAGGACAAAAATTATAAAGTTTTATTAATTGTTCAAATTCAATGACATAAGAGAAGTTCATCACAACTATAACGATAACAACACAGAAAAACAATATTGTTGGAATCACTATCAGAACGTTTTTTTTCCATCTGATGAATGATAAAAACATTGACAACCAATCAGAATTGACGTGACTTTAAGCATTTTAAGCAGCAGATGTCAAAAGGACAGCACACGCTTGTAATAAACAGAACAATATTGTGCATTGGTGTGGACTCTACTACAGTTATCGTTATAGTTCTTGGCCTTTAGTCAGGATAACTGCCCTCACAGGTTATAGTAGCACAGTGATCCTCAAATCAGTCTCGCGAGATCCACTTTCCTGCAGAGTTTAGCTCTACCCTAATCAAACACACCTAATCAATGCTAATGCCTAAGTTTGCTAATCAATGTCTTCAGGATCATTAGAAAATCACAGGTAGGTTTGTTTGATTATAGGGTTGGAGCTAAACTCTGCAGAAAAGTAGATCTCACGAGCCAGATTTGAGGATCACTGTAGTAGCCTAATCCCATTTTTTTTCTAGTAAGATCAAAGCAAAAGCCTTGGGCCTAAAAAGACAAGGAGGCCAGACTCAGAGCACAGCTGAGGAGAAGGAAAGCTGAAAAGCGAGACAGATTCTGCTCTCTGGATTGCTTTGGCCCTGGGCAGTTTGACTGGAGGATCTGTTGTAGCAAGTTTAACTAACAGAGTTTCAGCTGAGGATAAGTCGCTGCTAGACGGTCACTTTTTAACATCTCAATAACAGATCACACGCTACACGAAAGCATATTTCATGACACCTGGAAACACTCTCTGCAACCTATAATCATAGATGGAAAATCATCTTCAAATGAGGGATGAAATAGGTCTGATATGAAGAGAATTGCGTGATATTCCTGAGCAAAACAGCACAGTCAAACCAAGCCCTGTGGCGATTAGACAGCTAGTCAATTTCTAACAACTGGGTAATGGAGATTCAAGTATATGAAAGTTGATTCACCATATAATGACACTTAGACTCTCTCATCACCAAATCAAGTCTACTTTGAGCTCTCAGATGTCGGCACGTTGAACATTTCACTGGTTTCTCTGTCATACTGGTCCTCTCGAGGGTGCAAAGACACCCACACAGTCACATAGGAATTCAATAAAGTGAGGGAATGGGAGAGTAGCATGCTGTTTTGTGTCAGTTGCTAAGCAAAGTGAATCAACCCAATGACAATTTTGACGTTAGGCTCCTGGTTCATCTCAGACAGCAGCACTGACCCACAATGACACAGAGGAAAACAGACCTTGCTTTAAAATGTAAGGGATGACGTAATTTTTTGTATCTTGAGCTGTCCTCAAACTGTCTGAGTTTTTTCTTTTTTCCACCTTCTATCTCTCCTTTGACCTGAGAAGAACAATCTTTTGCTTGACAGGATAAGTAATTAGTCAAAGTGCCGTGATTCCTAACAGGGTGGTGCTTTGACAATTAAACCACTTCCTCATCTGTTGTTGACTCTGGCGCCAAATGTCAACTGATCAGTCGTATAGATTCATTGATCCAAAGCCTTTGGTTTGTGCCGACATCCATTAAAATTCAAACCATTGTGCAGTTCAGACCCTCTGTATAGGAAAATAAATATATTTTCCACTTAAAACACCACTTGACAGCTGTCCTTCCAGCCATTGACATGCGTATGGTTTAGCTTAAGTGCAGTGCACTGTCACCATGTGCTATACAGCTGTCATGAAAATATGTTTGTGAGTGCCTTAACAGACATTAGCAAAATAATAAAACATATTATTATCCAGGAATGTGACCAGGATGTGGGTCAAACAGTTACACTGATATACATTTGTACCCGTTTTCAAACATAATGTTGCAATTCTAATCTAAATGATTACGAATATGTCCACAAAAATGGTGAGATTCTACACAGCATATTTGGTCGAGTGGGGCTAATAATGTAACACATTTTTCATTTTAGCAATTCATTTTACATTTTTGTGAATCTGTGGCTAATTCATAAGAATTTATAGAATTGTATATATATTTATTATACACTCTTAAAAATAAAGGTTCTTAAATGGTTCTTTGGCACGGTGTATGGTTCCATGAAGAACCTTTAATATCCAAAGAACCTTCCCATTGCACAAAAGATTCTATGTAGCACAGAAAGGTTCTTTAGACTATAAAATGGTTCTTCACACTCAACATGTTGAGATCAAGTGAGCTAAATTGTACTGTCTGGTCCAGAACTCTTTCCAGACTCAAATGAATATAAATAGTGCAATATAAAGTATTAATTTTGAGTAAATGGTATTGTGGTGTTTATCAATTAAAAAACAATAGATCAGCCCTTTTATATCTTTTTTAATGCTGTTTTGCATGACTCAAAACTCTCTGAAAACCCTCAAAAAATATAAATTTCACATGAATGTAACTTATGTCACTTACTAGTACAATTATGTAGGCTAACTTACAGAAGACGTTGCTGATTGAATTTAGTTTTAAAAAATATGACTGATCGTCGCTGTCAAGTCTGAGTACTCTACTACTCATGCACATCCCTATTAAACACACATACACACAGTATCGAGGTATGATGTATACTGCATTGATGTGTACTGTAAACGCAACAAACATTTTAATCATATCTCTTGTCAAGTCTCGATTACTTCTGGATTTGATTTTTATTTTCTAAATTGTTTTATGAACAAACCTATTAAAGAAAATTTATAGTATGATAAATGTGAGGATATTGATCTGGAATAAATGGGACACTAAAATAACATTTTCATAAGTGGTTCTTTGTAGAACCTTTAAAAAGGGTTCTTTGTAGTAGCAGAAAAGGTTCTTTATGGCACCAAGAATAAAATGGTTCTTCATGGAACCAAAAATAGTTATTCTATGGCATCGCTGTGAAACACCCTTTTTGGTGCTTCCTGGCACTTTTGGTTTTTTATGAGTGTACACATATATTTTTTCTGAAAAACGTACATTTCCGTAAAAATCACCACCTCATAAAATAGTTCTGGGTTCTCATGAGTTTGGGTTGGAAATTGTTTTGTCCAATATTGTTTAACCAATGTTTACTGTTTTTATACTTATTTATCGTTTTGTTGGTTTGTTTTGGGTTTTTTTTAGAAATGAACAGTTCTTTTATATCAGGTCTACTGATAAGTGCTGCCTAAAAATAGGATCTAACTAAGTGTCAGTTGTTAAACCCCTATTTGCTCAACATGAAACAATGTTATTCAAAAGTAAAGCAGCTTACTTAATTCTTTTGTTTAACAATACAAAATAAATTAGAAATTAATTATTAAAAACTTTATAACTTTTCACAGCCATTTTAAAAAGAGATTTCTAAGCTTACACATAATTCAAATATAGTCCTAGATAAAGATAAGTTTGCATAAATATAAATATGGCACAAATAATAATTAAATAATTGAAACTAATTGAAATATTCATACTGTATATTGTGTTTTATATGCTGCAGCCTAATAATTATTGATTGGTCAAAATAATCTTGAAAACCTAAAATCTGCAAATCTGTTATCTGACAATTAATCATTACATTAATTTCTATTGGTACTAGTTGTACAAAATATAATAGGCTATTAATAATAATAATAATAACAGTAAGAAGAAGAAGAAGAGGAAGAAGAAGAAGAAGAAGAAGAAGAATGTTGATCGAGTGATCTTATTGGGCATAAGATGTTCATGAGATATTCCAAAATGTTCATCTCAATTGGTTTTGGAACACGCACGAAACATACTACTGAAACAGGAGAGTAATGCTACATAATGTGTTTGCAGAGCAGTGCGCGGTTGCATGGGCATTTGCGTCGCTGCAGAGCTCTGAAAATCTTCGGTCAATAACAAAGTGATGACACTCACTCACCTTCATAATACCGCAAGGTGGATTCCAGGTGCCGGTGCACCTCTCTGCAGAACTGTCGCGGTTCCGGGTACAGACCCGCGGACTGCTGTGCTCCCTGTACCGTCCGTTAGAGTACACCCCCTCGGCCCCGTACACCGGGTGCCCAGCCGCCGACACGTCCAGGTATGTCTGGTAGGTATCACTGATGCTCAGCGCCGCCGCCGCCGCAGCCACGTCCCGGGTCGGAGTGGTCGCCTCGGAGACGAGCTCGTACAAGGGTCCCGCCACGGATTCGGAAGCCTGCGGCTCAGCCATCGCGCGCTCTGCTGTTAGCTACGCCAAAAAACTCACCATCGGAGTGAGTGAGCCTTTGATTTTAAGAGCCCACGGCGAGACAAACAGCCATCGGAGTCCCGTGCGTCCGAGTAAAACCGTAAAATCCATGAACGGAGAAGGCACCTCACGTCCTCTGCCAGCCGAGGTGGTGAATAGATTGTGCGGGCGGATAGATTCAAACCCCCTCTCCTCCCTCCCTCTCGATCACCCCTCGTCGCCGCTAGAAGAAAATAAAGCGCACAGATGGCGCTCGCGCCGTGTTCTGCCGGTGGCCGTCCGTAACTACCGAGATAATACAGGGTTATGAGGGCCAATTAGCCTCGTTCTGTCCCTTGATCGCCAGACGCCCTGTAAGCAGTAATGGAAGGATTTCCGCTGTCTCTCCAGCGTCTCTCTCATGTGTGACCTATCAAAGATGACCGAGGATGGTTGTGACTGGATTTAAGGCACATTTGGAGAGTCAGGTCCTGCCACTTGATTTGCAAACTATCCCATCACACTTAAACGGAACCACACAAAGTCATAAACACGAGCAGATTTACATAAACATGCTACTCAACTACTTCCAGGCTGCCTGGAAAAGAGTGATAAACAAGCGCAATGCCTCTCCTGTGGTACGCAAGTAGGCCTACACCATGAAATTATCCAGTAATTGCCCCTTTTAAAGAGGCAGCCATAGATGTCGTGGCTTACAAATAAATGCCTAATTGCCTGGGAAAATAAAGGACTACATAAAGTATAAAATATCTTTAATTATAAAACTATGAAGTTATCACAGCCTTGTAAAGTCAAAGGCAGTTTATAAAGTTTCAGGCAATTAAACAATAAAATTGTATTGCAGTTTCAAAGCTCAGGAGATTTAATGGCATCTCAGCTATAAAAGTTTTTTATAGTTTTTTTTATAATACATTTATATATAATATTTATACATATTTATAATCATTATATAAAAATGTATGTGTGTGTCTATTAAATGAGCAAAATCACACTAGTAGGCGTGAGAAATGGGTGTATATATGCACGGCTGTGATTCGGCCGTAGGTAATCACAACGTGCCAATATACAGCCACATCTCACGTCTACGAGTGTGATATTGCGTTTATACAACAGTTCGACGGCACACGTGTGTAAATATATACACTGTAAAACAAATTCAGGGATTTCACAGCATGCAACTGTAATATTTCACAGTAAATTACATTATTATCACTTTACAGGCTTTTACTGTGGCTTTCACAATATAATACCATATTCGGGAATTTTACTGTGAAAATAATGTAGGCGGAGCAGTTACAGGACACTACTGTAAATTCCGTCCCGCCTCCGCATGCTGTGTCGTCTGACTGAGCTCTCTGGTCTCCTCCATGTTCTCATCCGTGTCCAGCGGATTCAGCAGTAAGTGTAGAAATGTCAAATTAAATGCCTTTATTATATGATAGTGCATGTAATTTAAAAGTATTAACCAAGTAGAGTTAGTTGTAGGTTCTGTTGTCACGTTGTTAGCGGTTAGCTTACTCGTGTAGATTTGAGCGCACCAATTTTTTAAACCATAAACAGACGTTGGTTGTAGTAATTGTACCGTATTATGTTAGTAGCTAACTGTGAGACATTAGCTAATTTTTTGGAGCCTCATTTCGAAAAAATATATAATTATCTCAATTTTAGATTTTCTTAGTGCTAACAGCGATCTCTTTCCCTGTAACTTATACGTTAGGTTCTCTCCACAGTGGTGATCACTGGGCAATAAGTTGTAAGGTAAGATGACCTTATGATCGTTATTATCAACCAGAGAAATTATAGTGTTGTGGATTACGGCAAAGGTGGAGTAAATTAATCTCAAATTAGTAACGTTAACTGGGCTTCTTCATAATTTTCTCCCCTGCTGTGTGTGTGATACGGAGCAGCCTTTGTCTGCTTCATCAACTGAAAATGTAGTGCATATAAGATAAATTGATAGGGGCAAGAGATTATTTGTGCGCAAATTTTGACTCTGTGCTACCGTAGGTACAGATTATTGTATTATTGTACTCCTGTTGTATTAATAGATTATTTTTGCATCCTTGTGTTACAGCTACAGCTACAGCCACTGACGTGAAGGGACTGTGAAGCAACCAAGCACCCCTAGCTTGCTTGATTGTTCAAGGTAATGTTGTCCTTCTCATTTTTATTGTATTTTCAAGTGTCAAGTCATCCACAAATTTGTTGTGAGCAGTTTCATGTAACTGTTTTCTTTCTACAGATAGTTTCTACATGAAACTGCTCACAATAAGGTCTGTGGATTATCTTAACCGGGTCGTGATTTCTGGAAAAAGACATTGCTGTAGAGTGAGAATTGTTCTGACTGTGATACTAATGATGTATTCATTTCATTTAAAGGATCTAAATGTAAACAAAACGGTTGCCTCTGCCTGAAGTCAACATAAACGATTCAGACATGCTATCACTTCAGAACTGAATCATTTGGTCTTGAAATTATTTTTTAAAAAAGGCCTATATTTGCAACTGTCTTGGTTTTAAAACAGAAAATTAATTATCTATCATGAAAATGACAGATTTGTAATATCAAAACTGTTAAGTGATTAGGATTATGTAACATTGTGAATTATACACCTTAGAAACTGTATTTACTTTTTACCCATAAGCTCAGCATTTAGAATTTATTGGCTTCCAGTCTCATCTGCTTCCAGCTATTTTTAGCTGGAAGCAGCATGTTTTGCTGCTTAAACTTGCAAATTGGTGTTGTCTTATGCTTACCATATTATTTTAATGTATTATCTTAATTATGAACACACTGGTTTGTAGTGCAAACAGTTTTACCGTTTACTTCTTATTCTTCTCATTATTTCCCTACAGCGGCTAATGAACCGAAAGTCTCGCACATTCACAGAAAACGGCTTACTTCCGCATTGAAAAATAAGGTGGATTGCAATTATTTTCTTTTAACAGTAGTCATCTAAAACTCAGTAGTTAGAGTATGCCACCACACTACTCTTTTCACTCTAATTTCTTAAATAAGTAAATAAATCTTGATTTCTTTTCTGAACAGTAGGTAACAGTATATCTGTTTTTGTTTCAAGTGACACAATGAAGTCGATGGCATGGATGCTGACATTGGAGGGACAAGCTGATTTCATAACTGGTCTGGCTGCCATTTTTGCCATTTCAGTTTGAAGTATGCTGAAGATGATTCTTGCACTCTGGAATTTATCAAAGGTAATTTCTATGTAATATTGTACTTGAGGGCTTGTTTTTTATTTGGTGGGTTAATCAAGGAATGTTTGGATGTGTTGTGATTTTGCGAGCCGCTCAGGACCACTGCAGCCAAGCGATGATGACCCCACTTCTTCCCCTCAAACAAGTGGTGTGTTGCAGACTCAACTTTTGTGTCTGTGCTGGAGACCAGAGAGGAAGCGGTTTTTAAAAGGATCCTGATTCTCCTTCCTCTGCAAACAGTACATATAAAATGATTAACATTGTTGTGTGCAAATGCTCTGCCTGGATAAATCACACACCTCTACTTTGTTGCCGTACTGTTCTTGACTGTGTGTTTGTGATGGAAATAAGCTGCCAGGTTTTTTAAGCTGCTGTTATTTAAATGGTTAGGGTTAAAATCACCTTGTTCTGCACCTTTTTGGTCTGTACTGCAACAGCAGTAACCCACTGAAGGTGGTCACTGGGAACTGACACCTTTTTCATCCCACTTGAAAGAAACTAACAGCTTTCCTCTCAGCCTATTTGTTTATAGGTACTTCGTGGGCATCAATCCAGAGACAGGCACAAACTCAAAGAGGCAGAGAGGACATATCAACCAGCAAGTCTGTACACTGATCAGGAAACTCATTGACTTTGAATGGATGTCAATCTAGTGTGTAAGCAATGTTCCAACACCAGAATGGACAAACCAAACTCTGGCTTTGTGTTAAGCTAGATGTGGTCATGCAGTAAGATGATCCCTGAATATGTTCTATAGTGTGTCCTGGTTAAATGGAGAAAAGCATGATCGTCTGAACCCCTTTGCTGGAAAGTTTAGACAGAATTTATTCAACTGCAAAATATATGTGTAAAATTGATTGTTTTGTGTTTATTTGAATTGAACATATCTTTCCAGTAGGTTATTGATGGGTTAAAAGATAAAATTCCAAAATTACACTATTTTATAATAAATTAACAATACATTTTAAATTAAAAGTTTTAAATTAACAATACATTTTATAGTAAATTAAAAGCACATTAACGATTTGCATTACTATTACAGTTTACACTGTAATTCTACAGCAGAATACTGCTAAATTGCAGTAATCTGATGATAACTTCACAGCTAAATACAGTAATTCTACAGGAGCATACTGCTAAATCACAGTACGGAATAACTACTGTGAGGTCACAGTATACAGCTGTCATTTCACAATTATTTACAGTAATAATGATACAGTAACTTACTGTGAAAGTAATGCAACTAGCAGCCAGTAATTTACTCTTTAAAAACCCTCTTTTGTGCAGAACAGAGTATGTGAGCGGAGCGGATTTTTTAAAAGTCGGAGCGTCGTGGTTTTCACTCGCTCCAAGAACGCTCCACTACCGCTCCGCCACTAGTGCAATTCATGCCAACGGCCCGTAATATAACTGCATATTTAGCAAGAATTCGCATGATAAACATATTTAGCTAGCTTGATACAGATGGATCACTCAAATCAGAAAGAATGTGAAGGCTATGATGACAGCAATGGACATGAGCGGGAAGTTATAGTGCTCAAGGAATTTGTTTGTTCCTTCTAGATACTGAATATTTTCGGGTGAGAGAATGATTTGAACCAGTACAACACATTCACGTGCAATCGCTTTCTCAATAATGCTTCAAACAAATGCAATCTTACAGTGCTACTTCATCTGTAGGCTATCTGATTTCGAATGAGCAGAAATCTGTAAGAAATGCAGCGATCCGTAGGTAAAATAACGGACGAACGTACTGTTATTTTCATCCTTCACAAACAAAATATGCACTGCAAAAAGCACCAATTATACCTTTTAATGCTGACAACAACCATGTTATTAGCTTGTAATGTGGTAGGAAAGAGTTTGCACACTAGTGCTCCAATGAGCCACTTTGAAACTCTCCTGTTATTTTATTAATTTGTGATATTTCAAACGTACTGAAATACTTTAGATGCGGAGCAGTGTTTCTGATATCAGTGAGCGCGGAGTGGAGCGTGAGCGGGAAATGGTGAACCCCGAGCGGAGTTGGAGCGGAGTGATTATTGAATGCTCGGAGGGAAAATTGTTGCCGCTCCACTCCGCTCACATACTCTGGTGCAGAACTACTTCCTTCCGCGACGGATTCAAATCTCAATTTGACAGTTTAACAGCTGAGCTCAAACCTCCGTTACTAATTCGAAAACGTCACTTTAGAACTAGTAACGAAGGAACATTGAGCTGCTTCATTGAAAGCTTATTGTATCACTGTATTAAAAGCTCTCTGTATTATAGGTAGAGTATTATGAGAGAGAGATGGACTTAGTGAGTGTGATTACCTGCATCTGATACAGCATTCATTCTTCAGCTCAATCTCATCTTCACAATAAAACATTAGTTTGAATGTCCGCCGAGGAAAGCGATATCTTTGTCGCACTATCCATTCATCTGTTAAGGGTGATTTCTGATGACAGCGCTGCTCAGTTACAAGAAGTGTTAATTTCGTTGACGAATAATTTTCGTCATAATGCATGACATTTTATTCACTGACGACAACGAGACGAAAATGTTAGGGAGGGACAATTTGGAAAGAGATTCATTCTATTTCAGAACGAATCTGCTGCGTGGTTAGGAAGTTAGATGCGTACATACGAACCGGCAGGAACATAAGTTAAAATACACTTGCTGCACATCGCATAAATCGTTCAAAAATGTCGATATGTGGGAGTAAGAGAAGAGCAGACATATAGATAAATCTGACGACGCAAGAGAGAACTCATTTCAGTTCGGTTTTCTGAGCGCAGACACTGAAGCATACACACACAGAGAGCGCGTCTCACAGCGCACGAGGACTCTTTCGCGACGCATGAACGGATAATTAAGAATTACACACATAATGATGTCAAATTGTTTTGACGAGTATTCACGTAAACACAGTTGATTACGTCTTAAGTGAATGTAAACAGCAAGGAGAACGTGTATCAGTACATTGCATCCATTGCAGCTGTGCATTCGGTTTTAAAGGGACAGCAGCCTAATTTAGTTGCTATTGTCCAAGTCATTGATGTTAATCAAGCAACGAAAGAAAGACAGAAAATCACTCACTGCTCTTGACTGAAAAACTTTAGTAGCCCTAAAGATTAATCAAAATTTATTTACATAAATAAATATGTCTGCTTGAAAGAATGAAGATTATGGTAAACAAGTTGCTATAAAGAATGCATAATTAGCCTATAACCATTGGTATTTCATTAAAAAGACGATCATGTTCTTGTTCTTAATGAGGAGTGGTTTTATTAATTTTAACATAAAGGCATGTTGTGTGGCACCGCAGTTAAATCGGTGTCTATCATGATAAAACCTTAATATCAAACCTATATAATGAGTTTGGAAATTTTGGAGAAATGCTTAATAAACGCATTACACTGTAACTAAACCCATTAGATTTTAGCCGACTAAATTTACTGTAGATTTAGTCGACTATTTAGTCGACTAAAACTAAAAGCAATTCAGGTGACTAAAATATGACTAAAACCAAATGGCATTTTAGTCAAAAGACTATGACTAAAACTAAATCAAAATTTGCTGTCAAAATTAACACTGGTTACAAGCTATTATTAAAAGTAAAAAATAACTTCTGTTTCAGTCTCTTGCAATATAAAAGTAATTTGTAAAACAGTCTCTTGTCGCCATCTTAATGGCGGGGGGGAAAATCACCATCACGAACACACACACACACACACAGTTTCCTAATACTAAATACTACTATGTATATAAAATATAATAAACAACAACAACAGCCATCATAAAAGTTGCTAGAAAATTCTGTCAAAAGTACAAAGGCAGCGCTCTGATATACAGCATTAAAGTTACATAAAACATAACGTGATGAGATTTTGCTCTCAGCCAAAACTATTTGCTCTGGAACAAATAGCAGTTTAATGAGACAAAAGACTGCCCGTTAGAATTACCCAAAACAAATTATATCTCATGTTTAACCACTAAAGAGACATCAGAGCCAGCAGCAGTGTGAACTCGGCAGGTTCACGAGTGACTCAGCAGGTTCAAAACTCTTAAAACTACATTCCGTGACACAAAAACATTATTATTTTTAAACTACAGTGGATTTGGGCATCCGCCATGACACTCACTGTGAGAAATACGGCAAGTATGATAGAAACGGTGAAACGGTTGGAGGAGTTCTGTTATCACTTTAATATTGCACTATTATCAGCCAATTCGATTCGAGGACCAGAAAGAACTGTTGTATAATTACATATAATTACATATTAATATGTGATCTATATAAAATTGTATACTATCTATAAATTGTGTGTGTGTGTACCTAGATGGTACACAGGGGCATACAAGACAAAACACCTTCAGGGTAACTCACATGACACTATAAAATAATGCAATAAACATTAACTAAATAACAAAACGTAACACAAAACACCTTAATGTACATTACTGATTCCAAAAGAAGGAACAAAACTATTCATATAAATTTTTTTATATAAAATCTAATCATATGTGATGTTTTACACAGGAATTTCTGGGAATGTATGCAATATTATACAGTAATTTAGTTTTTACTTGGAAAAAAACAAATTTGACTGTTTTGACAGGGTTGAAGCGTGAGACCGGGCAACCCTGAGTTTACCAATTAATAAGATTTTACTATAGCATTTTTACAGTTTTTTTTATTCGTTTTATTTTTTACAGTGCCAATATTTTAGTCTTGAGTGAATTTGAAGATAAATTCTTAAAGGAACACTCCACTATTTTTGAAAATAGGCTCATTTTCCAGACTCTCCTATCCGGGTCTGGCGGTTGCACTTTTAGCTGTAGCTTAGCATAGATCATTGAATCTGATTAGACCGTTAGCATCTTGCTCAAAAATGACCAAAGAGTTTCTATATTTTTCCTATTTAAAACTTGACTTTTCTGTAGTTACATCATGTACTAAGACTGACGGAAAATGAAAAGTTGCGATTTTCTAGGCCGATATACTCTCATTCCGGTGTAATAATCAAGGAACTTTGCTGCCATACCATGGGTGCAGCAGGCGCAATGATATTACGCAGCGCCTGAAACTAGACTAACTTCCGTCAACATAACCAACGTGACCACCTGCTTGCACAGGGAGCGTGCTGGGGACTATTTTCAGGTGCTGCGTAATATCATTGTGCCTGCTGCACCCATGGTACGGCAGCAAAGTTGCTTGATGATTTTGAGCAAGATGCTAACGGTCTAATCAGATTCAATGATCTATGCTAAGCTACAGCTAAAAGTGTTACTGCCAGATCGGCTGAATGGATTAGAAAACGGTAAAACTCAACAATT